AACTAGACAAAACGGGTTTTAACAAAGACATTCAGTATAAACTAGTTTCAACTAGTTGAAACGCGTTCTAACTAAAAACGGGTTTTGACTGTAACATATATAAATACAAAAACGAAATTATTATTGGAAATTAACTGTTTTCAATTCATTTTTTAAATACTTTGTTATTCAAGGTATTGTCTAAAGATATTAATATATTATTGGAAATTAACTATTTTCGATTCATTTTTAAATATCCTGTTATTTGAAGTACATTCTTGAAATATTAATAAATCCCCCGGTGAGTTTTGAATTCATATTTAAGTATCCGGTTATTTAAACTACACTCTTAAACTATTAATAAAATCCTATGAGTTTTCAATTCATATTTAAATATCCTGTTATTCAAAGTACAGTTAAAGAATATTAATAGACGTCATTTTATTCTAAAATTATTAATGGACCTCCTGTTATTCAACATACTGTCTAAAAATATTAATTAGCATCCGTGTTATGTGTTATTTTTGTGTTCAGCAATAGTATAAATACTGGATTTATTAAGAGACTGGCTCAATACACTGCCGAGATACCAGCTAAGAACTTCTTTTGCAAAAACCTCTTATACATCTAAGAAAAATGTTTTCAGAAGGTAAGTATTTTATTTTATCTTTTAATATTTTTACTTAAAATATTTCAATAAATATAACATTAATTTTAGACTTTGATTATGATTTTAACGTGAAACAGACTGTTGGTAAAAAAAGAGAAGCTAAACCTAAAAAATATAGAAGATCAGGAGGTGAGAAAGCAAAAGGTTGCCCCAGACCAAAAGTTTGGGTTAGATCTAACTCTAGATAATGGTAAATCTTCAAAAATTAGCCAATTTAACATCAAAATATGTAAAAATCAATTCATGCAGGTGGTAGAATTCCATTCTAATGCATATATTTCGTTGACAAAAACGAAAGGGAACTATCAGCTAACAAATATATTATACCTGTACTAAAAACTCTTAACCTGTAAATTGCCTTTCTCTTTAATCTCTGTATATTTATGTACAGTATCCCTGTAAATAAGTCTTAAATTTCTCTATTTTCATCCTAATAGTAATATTTGATAGTATAAAACATAGTTTTAATTGATATTACAGAAAACACTTCTGGTGTTTTGGATTGGAAGTATTATATTGATAATAATGGCAATATTTGGATTGCATGAATATAAAAGAGAAACGTCACCAAACGACACTATAGTGTATTTACACACGTTATCCATTTGCTTTTACTGTGGCTACCGCATGGATTTCTGTTGCATGCATTACGGGATATGGTGGTAAGTAAATGAGTTTTGAAACAATTTCACGTAAAATTCAGTTATTGTTTAAGTAATTTATTTTTAAATTGATTACTTAATTCATATTAAAGTATATTTTCATTGCAGGTATCTGTAATCGAATTTTTTCATTGCGAATATTTTGTGTGTTGGATAAATTAATTATTTGGATGTACATGCTTCATGTACTAGTTTTAATGTATATTTATGGTCATTTACGGAAAAGTCTTTACGCATCAGCAATAAGTTTCGTAAGATTATTTTAATGAGAGAAATAAATAATAAAAATTTAGTAAATAGTTGCTGAACCTTTTCGGCAACATTCAAGTATGCATGTGATGTCATCTCATAATATTTTATTACTATGGCGTTTCTTACTTTTTATTATTACAAAATAGCAGAAATCAATTTTGAAGAGAGGGAAGGTTTAGATACGTCGTGCGTCATAATGTTCGATCGTTTTCGAGATATGACACACGAATCTCCTGTATTTTCTTATTCTTCTCACTTTTAACTATTGGAATTGAATAGCATGTATCACCTAATAACAAACCTCCCTGAAAAATTTGAAAAAATTTCAACAGAAAGCACAAGAGTTATTATTCTTCAAATAAAGTTATCAAAATCGTGTCTGTCCCACATACACACACACTAAAGCCCGAACATATAGAAAATACCCCCGAATAATTTTTATTTTTTGGTGTTTCTTCATGTTGCATTATTCTTTTTGTTAGTGGATGTTGTTCCTAATGGTGATGTGCCTAACCTTAATTGCATCGTTACTCGTTAAGTCCAAAAATGTGAGAAACTTGGAGAGTCACTATTGACCAATCGCGATACATTTCCGGTGTTTTAGAGATAACAGAGCCGATAATGTACAAATTAGGGTATTGTAATGAAATTTTCATAGATTAGGAAGTTGTTTACATTACCTAGGCATGAAAAATGTCAAAACTTTATATATGAATGGTTTGTTTCGTTCGGTTTGTTATGTTATGGAACGGAACACTTTGGCGATCTGTCTATGGAGAATGCCTTCTGGGAGATCTTTTTAGGGGTAACTGGTTCCTATTTAGGTGTTACAGACGTGGAGAAAATCCGGAAAATTCCACGTAGCCAGCCTATCCTTGTGAGGCACGAACACATAATTGAACTTCCAGTGTTCATGGAACAGAACAACTTGGCCACTGGGGGCCTTATATGTAAATGCCTTAGTATTATGGAGATAAGATCAGTTATTTGATACGATCAGACACGTGGTTTATCGTAAAATGATGGCCCGAAGACAATGCTTTTCTTCATATTAATTAGTTGCAATAATCACAATTTTTTATAGTTACTGTACAGGACTAATTTTTCAGAGATCCTGTTTTGTATGGTCCTATATTCAATTCCTAAGGCTTCATAAGTAAGTGAAGAAAAAACGAATGTCTGAAATTTAGAGGTATGTGGGAAACTAAAATTAAGATGAAAAAATATTCCTACAATATATTGTCACGAGTGAGTAAAATTTAGTAAGTTACGTGACCCGGAAATCTTACATGTAAGACACACTTCATTTAAAGTAAACTAGAAATCAAGCACCTATGTCCTTAGGTGTTAAGAGGAATAGGGGGGACTTTTGTATATTTTTTATGGAACATGATAAAAATATATAAGATAGAGATAAGTCTAAAATTAGATGTAATTTTTTGTACTGTATTTTATACGGAAGCTTAACAAAGAGGTCTAAATATAAGCTTTTTAAACATTTAGATTATAACATTCATTTAAAAACAAAAGATATTATTTATTTAATAAATAAAATTTCTTTATAAATTAATGCATTATTTTTTTATTAGTGGATGTTGTTCCTAATGGTGATGTGCCTAACTTTAATTGCATCGTTACTCATGCATTTGTTTAGTAATTTGCGTGAAAATCAACCAGTTTCAACAATAATTCTAATGATATCAGTTATCTTTAAATAATTAATATATTTGAAAACATTATGATTCCAAATATAAATAAATAGATTTGTAACAAAATTACCTAAATGTATCCCTTTATTAAATATATTCAAATGTAATGAATAATTCAGGTATAATTGTATTTAATTCAAATAAAATTAAAGTGTTTTTAATATAGTATGGTTACTGTTTATTCAATTTCTATGTTCAATTTTTCCTTTTAATCCAAAACATTTTTCTTGGTAGACGATCTCACAGTCTTCTGGTCAGAAAATTATCGCTTTATTTAAAAATTCGGACTGCAAATGCATTTTGGGTTGGTTTACGTTTTCAACCCCTCTTCAGTGCTGTTCAAAAAATATATATATAAATTGTATTTAAGGACACAACATTAATTAAATATCACTTTAAAAAATATCTACAATACAAACACTTACATATCATATAAGGGCACATATTATCAATAAATATTCTATTTCTGTATTTTTATCTTTATTTTCCATAAGTAATATGTTCCCTTTTAATATGAATAAATCATATTACTTAGAATGAATCATACAAAAACATACAATGAACACAGATAAACAAACTTTATAGATGCTAATTTTCGTCAGTATTTCCTTTATCGACGTTTATTAAATTTCACGTGAATCTGGATAAATAACTATCAAATTTAAGTTATAGTTAAAAATATACATAAAACTAATTATGAACTAAAATCTACAATGTTTGAAGGAACTTTTCCTAAAATTGATTCAAAACCTGCATATATAGGGGAGAGCGGGGCAAGATCGGCATGTTAAGCTTTACTTAAATTTTGTGTAATAAATACTGCTGTAAACTGATAAAAAAGCTTTGCATATTGTCTATTGGAATGTTACCTTAGTATAGAACTGGTTAAAATCAGTTTGGAAATAAAAATAATTAAAATAATTACAACTTTACAAGAAGAGAGAAATTGACGAAGTTGCCCCGGGTATAGGGGCAAGATCGGCAACTTTTCTCTTTTTGTAAAGTTGTAATTATTTTAATTATTTTTATTAAAGTTGCCCCTGGTATAGGGGCAACAGTAATGGGGCAAGATAGGCACGTATATAAAATTATGTTATTAACAATGTATAAGTTGGAATTCACTATTAAAACAAAGAAATACAAATCCAACACCCATTTAATATTATTACAACGAAATGCAAGTTCAAAGACATATATACATGAATAACAAATGCAAACATGTTTTCATTTATCATCTGTTTGATTTTTATCCTTTGCTTCTAATGTGGCTTTATGTTGCCGATCTTACCCCGCTAGTCATGATTTCGAAACATTAAGTACAACCCTGAGAACAGAATGCCAAGCCACGATCTGGCCACGTGAATAAGTTGAAGTTACATCCTTCTAACAGGAAAAGTAACTTTCGTTATCATGGAATTATAACAAAACCTGCCAATTCAATATAAATGAAAAAAAAAATATTATATGGAATTGAACGAAAATGAAAATTTGCTTGATAATTCAACTACGCTTGTTGGAGAACAATAAAAACACTACACTCAACAAGCCACGAATAAAACTCAACTGCCTAACCAATAACCAAAGTCTCCTTTTAATTTGTTTTTAAAAAAAAGCGCTTGCCAACCATCCCCGCATGCCGAAGTTGCCCCGGTCTCCCCTACAGAGAGAATAAAATAATGATTTTTTGTAAAAACGAAATTTACCAATTGCTTTTTCATTACTTGGAGTAGATACTTTTTGATATTTATAAATACAGCATACTTTTACATATTCTTTAAAAGTATATTTTCTTTGAAAGGCATTGAGGGAACTTTTACAAAAGATTTATATTCCAGGTTTTTCCTACAATAGTCGGTTAAAGTGTTTAAATAAATTGACTTGTTCTTAGAATTGTTATTTACTTTTATAAATCAGATAAGTTACTTTTTTTCTTATCTAAATACAAGAATTGTTCAACTATTATTTTTCCATATGATGAAATATTTCTAACGTTTACAGAAGAATCTAAAAAATTTCTTTTGAAATAATTAAAAAAATAATTTATATGAATAAATTGAATATTTGTTGTGAGTATTCGGATAGATACCAGCAATTACACAATACATAAAAACAATAATTATCATTACGTTTAACATTTAAAAAGCAATACTTATTAGTTAAATGCATAGGAAGAATAGTACTTGTACAGTACATCCAGCAGCCCAGTTTCATTTTTATATATTCCCAAATGAACATCTGAAAATATAATCACATTACTTCATCCCGATTTGTTTTTTGTAAACTAATCAATAAAGTTTAAAATTGTATTAAAAGTATTTGTTAAGTTTTTGTCAATCGTATATGGAGATAAAATATGTACCATACAACTGGAAAAAGACATTTTGATAGTCAATAATTTTTTTGTTTTTTTTCTATATTTTAAGAATTTTATTTTTAAATTTAATAAAAATTTCATTCCATAAATTAAATAATCAGTATTCAGAATGTTATAAATATTAGGTTTAATATTTTCGAGTAGAATAGCAGAATCGTTGTAATTTGAAA